ATTAAATCACAGAAAAGCAAAGTTTGAGGTTTAATGCTGCCTAGGCTAACGGTGATGAGAGTACAAGGAGAGCCTGGCACACCTTGGCACACCGGGGCAGGCAGGGTTAAGTGGCAAAGGCAAAGGAGCACGTACATGAGGTCACCGTAACAGCCTCAGTTAATGGGCTACGGCAGCCAAATAAGGCGTGTTGTTGGCATTCCTAGTGACATTTTTAATTTTGTAGATGATTCCAAGTTTTGTGGGACAGCTGTCAGTGGCCAGGGTAGAGGAGAAATTTGGACTATAAAAGGAAACAGGCTTAAGTGCTCAGGTGAAGAAAAAAAGACCAAAAAAAACTCTATTCAGTAGAAGAACATGCAAAATCTGGAAGGGTGGAGAAGGAAGCCCTCTCTAGTCTATCAGACATTTGCATGTTTTTTAAAATCCTTCCCAATAAAGTTCTTAATGAATTTAATTCAGTCCCCTATGGCCCAGAGGAATGTTCTGAGTAATAAAAAAGTATTGCTAAGGGAGAGATGACTGCCAAACTCCTATTCTGTGCCAGCAATGCGTATTTATGTTATTGGCACTTAAACGCTAGGTTTATTTTACTACATAAATGATCCTTTGTCACATATTAAGAATATTGAGAATTCCCACTTTTGGGAAGTTACAATAACAATTCACAAATGTAAATGATTGTTAGATTTGTATGCTGTGTTTTTAAAGAGGTTTGGGGGTGGTGGTTTTTTCACATTAAAATAGAAGCTGAATGTGGTAACTCCTATTTTGGGTAAACTATTTTGTGGATGGCTTATGGCTTAGCTTTTTAAAATGGTTTTATTCAAGGATTTTTTTAAAATTTTTTTTTTTGTTACCTTGAAACATCAATGTTAAATGAATTATAAGATCCAGCACGTACTTAAAGGTTGAGATGTATTCACTTACACAGAGCCAACTAGTAACACAAGGGCTTCTGCTGGCATGCTCTAATGCACTTTTGATGATTAAACCAAGTGACTCAAACGCGTGTTGGAAATTTCAAGCACCAGTGATGGAGGTTGCTGGACCACAGCATTACTTTGTTTATAAACATCATTATTGCATACAAGATAAATCTCTGCTCTCATCTAGTGCGTCACTTCAGCACAGTTGTCAGGAAAATGGAAGAAAAATGGTGCTACTAATTTTTTTCACTTTAATAAAGAGTGAAGGCAAAGTTGGGTATGAGATGAAATGTGAAGGAGTTTAATTCCTAGCAGGCAGCAAGCTCTAGAGGAAAACATATCAGTACTGGTGTAAGATGCAGTCTGGTCTCCATGCAAGCTGATACAATGTTCTTCAAGCACCTTCTGCACATGGCAGTACAACACAAACTTGTACAGCCTGTGTACAAGTTCAAGTGGATGTCAGCAGTGATTAAGTCAAAATATTGAATACGCTAAGGTCTGAACATAAAGCTTTTCTTTTGATGCACTTGAGTTTACCTCCTACCTCCATGTCACATGTGAACAGTTGGAAAAAATATTGTGAATTTGTCAGCATGTTTATTTCCATGGTGCATCTCTTTTGAATCAACAAGCATTTTTTTCAAGTGTAAAACGAACAATTCCTCATCCCTGGAAAAAAACAAAGTTTTACAGACATCTCCTCCCACTCCCCGAAAGACTAACCTCACCACACTGCGCAAGGGCACAAGCAGCTCGTTTTTCATTTGCTGTACACACAAGGAAAGATGCAGTTCCCCAGAAGTGTCTGAAGCATATGAGGGGGGATCTTAAGCATTTGGCAGTTTGAACTAAAAAGAAAGGTCAATGACAAAGAATTGAGATACAAGCAAAAAGCCAGACATCTCAGAGCACTGCATTTGAGCTTTAAAACTGAATGCGTGCATTGTTGGCTCACAGCTTCTCACAGCAGCATTCATAATTTAGAAAACTATTAATCAGCATGACGAAGTATCCTGTTTCTAACTAAAAACAAAGTAATTACACTAGAGAGCTTATTTTCTTTTCCCTTGAAGGAGATAATGTGCTAAAATTTGACAAGAATTCTGCAGCCCTGGGTTTGTGGGCTCTGTGTTTCATGGGAGAAAAAGCCATGACTGAGCAGGAGCAGCATTTCGCTGCCTTTTTATAAGGCCTGTCACAAGTCACTGCTCAGGGCTCCTCATTTTTCTGTCGGTCCGTGCCAGGACCACTATCCCTGTATTTGTTATGCTGACAGCAGAGAAAAAAGCACTGCAGGCCAGAAAATTTGTAGGACTAATACAAAAAAACGTATCAGCTTATGACAGAGACACAATAGGTAGTGAAAAACGAGGGAAGGCAGCAGGGGAAGAGTAGGGCAGCCAAGCAAAGGGGCATGGGACGGTGCAGGAGTGGGAATGAGAATAAAGAGACGGTGGCCAAGGAGAGTTCTGGTGGTTAAAGAACAGAAAATGGCAAATGTGACTGCATCTGTTGAAGAACAGCCTTCCTAGTGCTGTAAGTTTAAGAGAGCTACTTCCCCATGGTACCAAAATTATTTTGACATTGATTACAGAAGCAAATCATCAAAAACACAACTTTATTTGGTATCTCAGTGAGATAATAAATTTGTTAAAGTAATTATAGCATTCATTAAGAAAACTAATTTCTAAAAAAAAAAAAAAAAAAAAAAAAAAAAAAAAAAAAAATTTCATACCTT